GCACCACACCAGGACTCTCCACGTATACCACTTGATGACAAGTTCATTTTTATTTTTTCATTGCTTTTATTACAGTTAGTGAATTACTGCACTTAGTTGCTGTAGGCATATCTAGATCATAAGGAAGAAAAAAAATCCATTGTCTTGAAGTTGGTTCTAAATCACGATGACCCCATGTGTATAGAATAGATCTATGGTACCGAGGCTTTTAATGTCTGTGACCTTTTGGAAGGTGTCATTACATGGGTTTTAGCTGCCAATGTTGAGGTTGATAGTTGAATACTTAACTGTACCACCCAAATATTTCTGTACAAAACGATGAAACAACCAATGCCCAAGGAAGCAGCAGTCAAGGAATCATGGGTGATGGGGCAGGCAAAGTACAACAGGAGGAAAGATGAAGGTACCAGAAGACGCAGGAGGAATGAAAGAATTCAAGTGCACAGAGGGAAATACTGTTACCTGATGGTACGTTGAGGGGATTGTAATCATTGTAATGAAACGAAGTGTATCAGCTGTTGAATGTAAAACTGATGATCTGTTCTGTAAACTTTCACTCAAATGAAAAAGAAAGCAAAGGAAGCATTGCATTGGACAAATCTGCAAAAGACAGACCTCTTTCAAGTCTTAAAAGGCAAAGATATCACTTTGAGGTTAGTGGTTCAAACCTACCCACCGCTCCTTGAAAACCCTATGCAGGTTGGCTCTGAGTTGGAACCTACTCGACAGCACTTTAACAACAACAAAAATAGTGACTAAAGGAGCCCTGATGGTGTTGTGGGTTAGGCATTGGGCTTTTAACCAGAAGGTTGGCAGTTCAAACCCACCAGGCTGCTCTGTAGGAAAAGATGAGGCTGTCCATTTCTGTAAAGATTTACAGTCTTCAGAAACCCTATTGTTGTTCGGTGCCATTGAGTTGTTTGTGACTCATAACAACAACAGAACGAAACAGTCTGGTCCTGTGCCGTTCTCACAATTGCTGTTATATTTGAACCCATGGTGCTGCCATGGTGTCAGTCCATCTTGTTGGCAGTCTTCCTCTTTTTCAGTAACCTTCCACTTTACCAAGCATGATATCCCTCTCCAGGGACTGGTCATTTCTGATGACATGTCTGGTTGAATTTCTTGGGAGACAGATTTGTTTGTTCTTCTGGCAGCCCATAGTACTTTCAATCTTCTTTGCCAACACCGTAATTCAAATGCATCGATTCTTCTGTGGTTTTCCTTTCCAGCTTTCTTTCATTGTCTAACTTTTACATGCATAGGAGATGATTGAAAATGACTCAGGTACACCTTAATCCTCAAGCTGATATCTTTGCTCTTTAACACTTTAAACAGGTCTTTTGTTGTGAGTAGAAATAAGCTTGATGTTGGTGGTGGTAATGTGCCGTGGAGTCGAGCCGGTTCTGACTCATAGCGACCCTGTACAGGGTTTCAAAGGAGGCTAAGGCTGTATGGGTTTCCAAGGCTATAAATCTTTACAGGAGCAGAAAACCTTATCTTTTCTCTTGCAGAACAGCAGGTAGTTTCGAACTGCTGACCCTGAGGTTAGCAGCCCAATTCGTAACCACCATGCCACCAGAGATATTAGTGAGTTTAATAATAAAGAAGGAGCCCTAGTGGCTGAATGGTTAAGTGGTTGTCTGCTAGCAGGAGGGCTGCCTGTTTGAGCCCACCAGAGGGAGAAAAGAGCTAGTGATCTGATACTGTAAACATTACTGTTAGGAAACCCATAGGCAGTTCTACTCCGGCTTGTGCGTTGAAATTGACTAGACAGCACATAGCAACAGTAACAATAGTGAAAAGTTATAGTCCTTAAAAAAAATAAACGTTTTCCCAGGAGACATCAAGGCAAGTGATTGGGTTCCTTTGGGGCAAACCCCCTTCCAAGACTAAGACTCAATGGGAATTCACGCCCTGATTGGTGACCACATTCATCACCAATAAGGGGAAGTGAGGGAAAAACAGCAATGAAGCTGTGAGCTAAGCCCTATAACGTTCAATAGACTCTTATGATCCCGGGTGGAAACCTGGTTGGCCAGCAGTGTGGCAAGACCTGGGGACTCTTGGGCCCAGAGTTAGTGACATAGCCATGGAGGACTAGAGTGGAGAGTGAAGCGTCCAGCTGATAAGAAGAGAGGGCATATGCACAAGAACACCCACACTTGCAGATAATACCCACTTGACCTGGC